CATCCTACTCCACAAACTTGACCATTACGGTATACGAGGCCATGCGCTTGCTTATTTCAAATCTTACCTTACTAATAGGTATCAGTATGTTACGATTAAAGACACAGCATCAACAACACGGCCACTTGATACTGGAATTCCGCAGGGAAGTGTCCTTGGTCCCCTGCTCTTCCTCATATACATCAATGATCTTCCAAACGTATCCCAACACCTGAAACCCATTCTCTTTGCTGACGACACGACTTATGTCATCTCTCACCCTAATCTTGCCACCCTCAACACCATTGTTAACGAGGAGCTGATCAAAATATCGACTTGGATGACAGCCAATAAACTTACGCTTAACACTGACAAAACCTACTATATTATGTTTGGTAGCAGAGCAGGAGATGCACAAATTAACATTAAGATCGACAACACTCTAATTACCAGACATAATGAGGGCAAATTCCTAGGCCTATACCTTGACAACAACCTGAATTTCAGCACCCATATCCAACACATAACCAAAAAAGTATCCAAAACAGTTGGGATCCTCTCCAAGATACGATACTACGTGCCGCAAAATGCCCTTCTCACACTATACCACTCACTTATTTATCCATACCTCACCTATGCTATTTGTGCTTGGGGATCAACTGCAGCAACACACCTAAAGCCAATAATAACCCAACAAAAAGCTGCAGTAAGAATAATCACTAAATCCCATCCCTGGCAACACCCCCCCCCCCACTCTTCATAGATCTAAACTTACTCCCTGTTCAGTACATCCACACTTACTACTGTGCAATCTACATCTACAGGACCTTAAATTCCAATATCAACCTTGACCTAAAACGCTTTCTTGACAGTTGTGACAGAACCCACAGGCATAACACCAGACACAAACATCTCTATGACATTCCCCATGTCCGACTAAACCTTTACAAAAATTCAATGTATGTCAAAGGCCCTAAAATCTGGAACACCCTACCTGAGAACTCTAAAACTGCAGACACATTCATCACCTTCAAAACTACCATTAGAAAACATCTTATCTTCCTGATAAACCCCATCAACTAACTACACGAATACCACCTGGTGGTTCACACTTACACTCACTCACCCATTTGACCATAAACAGAAATATTAATCTCAATCTTAAAATAATGAATCCTATGATACTCCAATACTGAAACTATGTACTGTGCCAAAACAAAAGCATTCACATTGCTAAACTCACAAACTAGTATTTAGTCACTTAGCCATAATACCAACTTACCTCATAATTTGTAATATTTTAAAATAAAGAATTAAACTAAGTCTGCCCGAAATGCCTAGCCATGCTAGGCGTTCTAGTGGTACACTCTGTAATCATTATTTAACTACATGTAAACCACACAACAACCAAATTCTGTAAATTCAACATTGTAATCTTTATAGAGAATAAACTTTGAATTTGAATTTGAATTTGAACTACAGACCGATAGCACTAACATCCCACATCATAAAAATCTTTGAAAGGATTCTAAGAAGCAAGATCGCCAACCACCTAGATACCCATCAATTACACAACTCAGGGCAACATGAGTTTAGAGCAGGTCACTCCTGCCTGTCCCAGCCACTGGACCACTATGGCAAGGTCCTGGATGTTGTAGAGGATAAACAAAATCTAGATGTAGTATACACAGACTTTGCAAAAGCCTTTGACATGTGTGACCATGGTGAAATAGCAGACAAAATGCATGATTAAGGAATAACAAACAAAGTTGGAAAATGGATCAATAACTTACTGAGAAATAAAACACAAAGAGTAATGATAGTAAACAGAGTAAAGTCCGAGGCATCTACGGGGAAAAGCTCTGTTCCACAAGGCACTGTACTTGCTCCCATCCTATTCCTCATCCTCATATCTGACACAGACAGGGATGTAAGTCATAGCTCCATGTCTTCCTTTGCAGATGACACCTGAACTGCCATGACAGTGACCTCCATCGAAGACACTGCAAGACTCCAAGCGGACATCAACCAAATGTTCAAATGGGACTTTCAAAACAATATGAAGTTCAATGAAGAAAAATTTCAACTACTCAGATATGGAAAACTTGAAGAAATTAAAACTGTATCAGGGTATACAACAAAATCTAATCACACAACAGAGCGAAAAAGAGATAATACCAGAGGATCTCACCTTCAATGACAACAACAATGTATCTACCTCATCTGCTAGAAAAATGATAGGATGGATAAAGAGAACCTTCAAAACTAGGGATGCCAAGCCCATGATGATTCTCTTCAAATCACTTGTTCTCTAGGCTATTATACTGCTATACACTAATGGCCCTTTTCAAGGCAGGCAAAACTGCAGACTTGGAGAATATACAGAGAACTTTCACTGCATGTGTAAGTACAATACAGTATTTAAATTACTGGGAATTGTCGAAGTGCCTTGACTTGTACTCCTTGGAATGCAGGTGAGAAAGATATATGATAATATACACTTGGAAAATTTTAGAGGGACTAGTCCCAAATTTGCAAATGGAAATCACTCCCTACAAAAGCAAAAGATTTGGCAGATGGTGCAACATCCCTCCAATGAAAAGCACGGATGCCACGAGTATGGTAAAAGACAAAGTAATAAATGTCAGGGGCCCAAGACTGTTCAACTGCCTCCCAGCACACCAATGGACCCCTGCCTGGACAGACACTTAAAGTCAGTAACTGACCAGCCAGGCTGTGGTTCATATATCGGTTTGCATGCAGTCTCCAGTAACAGCCTGGTTATCAGGCCCTGATCCATACTGAGGCCTGGTCATTAACCAAGCCACTGCCGTGTTGTCCCCTCAGAACACCCTCTAGGTATGTGTGATGAATGGTTTGAAAAACCGACAAGTTGAAGATTGAGACACTTATGCAGCATATGGGAATCTTTATTCAGGAAACGTTTCGCCACACAGTGGCTTCTTCAGTCCAATACAAAGAGGAAGGAGTAAGGAGAGGAGGAGTATGAGGTAATCAGTCCCTCAGCCTGGAGTCGATGTGTTCAGTCCATCAATCTTGTAGAATGTACAGCATAGGGCCGTAGACGTGGCTTATATACTGTAGTGAGGGTCAAATCATTAATTAAATCCAATCCAGGCACCTGTTATCCCTTACCGAGATAACACAGGATTTATCTCTACAGACAGGGCAGTTAATTTACTTAGTAGTGTGCAATGTTCTGGAGCTTCTAGTCTAGAAGCTCCTCTAGTCATTAGATCACACAAACAAGCCACCAAAAATTTACCTACCTAGATTTGCAAATCCTTAAACTGGTATACCTGATGGCTTACCTTAACATTGCCTGCTGGACCAATTCATTATGACTTTCCAGAATTACCATGAATATCCATGAGTCACTAATACACACAGAGATAACAACCTGTCTTCCCCAGTAACTTCAAGTGACTGCCATCCACATAATTACACCACGGTGCCACGAGTTGTGGCACCGTGGTGTAATTATGTAGGTCTACGTCTAGAGACATCATACATACTAGGCTACTTACATTCCTACTCTAGCTTAACTATGTAATTAAGCTCTAGACTGCATATTAGCATGTTAAGGCCTTAAGACTAAGTAAGTAGTGAAGACCTTGTAATGTTGCCATGCCACCAGCTTTCTCCCCTTACTAACCCTCCTTCACATGAAAGAACTGTTAGGCTTACAGAAAAATCACTTGATTTTTTGATAGAGGGAGTAATAACAGAGGAAGGAATGATAGAGGGAGTATTCAATCATATGTTAGAATTAAATCATAATATACGCCCCTACTGTTTCCACTGAAAGAACCACAAATAAAGTATAAAAAGTACAGTACAGAGTCATGCAGCAAAGAGGACGTCAACAGAACATTAAAAATATAAATTAAGAAGAATGACTGAAGTTTCAGAAAATACTTCAATGCAAGACTGAAGAACACATTATATGGTAACTATGTATAAGTTCATTAAAGGTTCAGAAAACTGAGAAGGAATATTTTTTCACTAATATATAACAGACAAAAACCAAGTCACAATTTGATTTAAAAAAGCAGCTAAAAGTCACTAAAAACATTTCTTTACTGCTAAATGGATGGAACACGTATGGGTTAAAGCGTTAATATACATACAAGAAATTAATTATAAAAGATGTATATCACTGGCATACCACTACTCCTGTAACTATAAACAGATAAAGTAATTAAAATTAGATTTATTTATTTATTTATTTATTTTCCAATTTGTGCACACATACAGAGGTACAAAAAAATACAGATAAGAGCAGTATGCCAAAGCCACTTATACTATGCATAGCATTACGGGCTGGCTTAAAATTAACTTAAGATTAACTAAGCAATGATTATTATTATTATTATAATCAAAAAGAAGCGCTAAGCCACAAGGACTATACAGCGCTGCTATTAAGCAATGATGAAATCAGTGATAAAACATTAATGTAAACAGATAACTATAAAGCACAAGTGAGTATTACAAAGACAGGTCATATGGTTGCATTCAGTTAGGTAGTGATTCTGTTAGGTAGTGTATTTAAAAAATAATAAAGTTAGATTGGGTTTTAGGTTTTAACATTTATGTGATATAATTGTGAGAAACATTTAAGATATACAATTTATAATGTTCAGTTATTCAGTATTTATTTGGTTTTGGGTGAGTAAGTAATCTTTGAGAAGAGACTTGAATTTATAAACAGGTTGTGTTTCTTTTATATTTACAGGTAATGAATTCCAGATTTTAGGGCCTTTTATGTGCATTGAGTTTTTGCATAGTGTGAGATGGACACGAGGAACATCAAAGAGTGATAGGAGAGAAACCTATATTATGATGTGTCATCCATGTCTTGACTACTCATGAACAAAATTTCATAACAAAGGTGTTCACTGCAAACACAGTGTCTTTCCAACTATCTGTCAGCCTAAGCTACAGTCCAGCCATAGAAACTTACATCATGTACACAAGACAAAGAATGCTTGAATACTTACCATCTGGGTTTTTGCCGGTAAAATACTCTATAATACTCATGTCAACTGCATGTTGAATAGCCAAAAATCCTTCATCGTAGTAACCTAGAGAAAAACAATGAACTCAAATGAATTGTCAATACTATATGACAAATTGACTAAATAACTGAAAAATTTGTTATAAGTTAACCCTTAAATGGTCCAAACGTATATATACATTCATGCGCGTAGCGCCCCAAACGTATACATGTATATACGTTTTCTTTGTCATTCATTCAACATTGCCACAATAAGCCTGAGTCACCTAGACATGAGAGAATGGGTGTGCGCACTCACTGTGCGCCATATTAAAATAATTGGGGATGCCTGGGTACCATATGCTCTTTTTTCCTTTTAAAAGAAAAGATTTTTTTTTCCTCAAAAAATCTGGGGCACTACGCGAGTGAACATATATATACGTTTGGACCGTTTAAGGGTTAAAACCAAATTTAAAATGATTATACTGTAGATTATGCAAACTTTAACATTCTGAGTGGCCATCAACGTTACTCATGCCAGGGTTCCCTATGTAGATCTATGTTTTGAGCACAGCTTCCACAGATAAGCTCTGTGCAGTAAATTTTGATGTAGATATAAGAGAATGGGTCTGTGTGGTGCATATGCCAAGCATAAAAAAATCCTGGCTCATGCAGTGCATGATAGAAAAACAAAAGTCTAATCTTGAGTTTGGTTTAAAAGAGCAAATTTGAGGAGTTTTCTCAGATGGTTTTATGGTTTTACTGGCCGATTCTTGGTATCATTTGATAGAAAGGAAGACATACTACTGAAAAAGAGATGATTTTGGTTGGTTTCAGGACCAGAAGTAGCTTGAAATTGATCTCCAAGTAGCAGTAATATTCAAATATTGCCTATATTTCTGAAGCTGGGAATATCGGTCTGTTTGATGGGTCTGATTCAATTACAGTGGAACCTCAGTATGTGAACAGCTCCCTACTCAAACAAAGCTCACCACTTGACCAAACAAGCACAACCTGCCAGAACTTCACTGTAAACTATTTCATGTTTGTTAGCATTTTTTGGTATTTTTTTTATATAACAGTGGAACCTTGGCTTACGAATTTAGCCCATAAACGGTCCAAACGTATATATACATTTTTTTCAACATTTGAATGTAAAAAAAGTAGATCTTCTTTTTGTTTTTCTACATTTGAAAATATGTAAAAAAACTTTGATCTACTTTTTTTTTGTTATATTTGAAAATATGTAAAAAAAACTTAGATCTACTTTTGTAGCACTACACATGTGAACGTAGATCTGCTTGGACCGTATACGGGTTAATCCGTTCTGTGGACTTGTTTGTATCCTGATTTGTTCGTGTGCTGGGTCAATTTTCCTCATTCAAATTAATTGAAATGCAATTAATTCGTTCCAGCTGAATTCGTGCTCTCAGGAGGCATGACAAAATAACCCTAATATCAACTCTACGACTTATTTATCTGTCATAATTCATCTAATATGATATAATAAACAATACAGTGGAACCTCTACTTACGAGTTTAATCCATTCCACGACCTTGCTCGTAATTGAATTTGCTCGTTTGCAGTCAATTTTCCTCATTTAAAATTATTGAAATGGAATTAATTCATTCCAGTGGAATTCCAGGCATTAAAAAATACATTAACAATTTCCCTAATATCAACTCAACAGCTTATTTATCTATTAAAATTTATGTAATATGACATAATAAACAATATTAATAACACAGAAACATGACATATACACTAGAATGAATAAAATACATGTCATTAGGTATGTGGCTAGTGGTGGTGACAGCAGCCATTGTTGTTGAGGTTTATAGGGCCACCACAGTGGCCATTCCTGCTCTTGACTACATGTGTGGAGAACCTAGGATAACCCAAAAAAGTCAGATAGTGTGACTTATAAGTGCTATACTCTTAATGCTTCACTTAATTGCTACACTCTTAATACTACACTTAATTGCTACACTCTTAATGCTACACTTTGCCACTGCTGCTTCATGTTGTCTGCCACTGCTGCTTCATGTTGTCTGTCACTGCTGCTTCATGTTGTCTGCCACTGCTACCTCATGTTGTCTGCCACTGCTGCTTCATGTTGTCTGCCACTGCTACCTCATGATGTCTGCCACTGCTGCTTCATGCTGTCTGCCACTGCTACCTCATGATGTCTGCCACTGCTACTTCATGTTGTCTGCCACTGCTACCTCATGATGCTGCCACTGCTACCTCATGACGTCTGCCACTGTTGCTTCATGCTGTCTGCCACTGCTACCTCATGATGTCTGCCACTGCTGCTTCATGTTGTCTGCCACTGCTACCTCATGATGTCTGCCACTGCTACTTCATGTTGTCTGCCACTGCTACCTCATGATGCTGCCACTGCTACCTCATGACGTCTGCCACTGTTGCTTCATGTTGTCTGCCACTGCTGCTTCATGTTGTCTGCCACTGCTGCTTCATGTTGTCTGCCACTGCTACCTCATGATGTCTACCACTGATGGCGCCAAAGAATCGAACACTTCTGCTATTCTGAGCTCAATTTCAAGGTACTTTTCATCGTGAAACCAATTAAAATCATATTTATTTTTGTAGTATATCTTCCATTCTATCCCACGAGACCAAATAAAACGAGAATATAACCATAAAAACCATACGAAAATATACCGCTAAGGGAAGGCTAATGGGTGAGAAGTGAACTCCATTATTTATGGTCCGATTTCTTTCATTTTTGGTGTACATTAAGAAGCATCTTTTCCTCATACATTGCCCAAGTTTCAATAAGATAGTCCAACAAACAACTGAGATCTAATTCCCTAGATCAAGAGGAAGAGCCCCCTCACCAGTGTCAATTAACCTCCCTTGAGGCCCGCTCGCATCTGGAAATTTTGCTCGTGTCTGGAAGCAAAAAATCAACCGAGCAGATGCTCGTATCTGGAAAAATTTGCACATGGATGCACTCGTAAGTAGAGGTTCCACTGTATAAATAACATAGAAACCTGATATACACTCTAGAATGAATACAATATGTCATTACATGGATGGCGGAGGGAGGAGGATTGTGGTCGCAAGAGTGGTCGCTATGTACAATTTTTATGTTTACCTCACTACACTACCTACCTAGTCTGTGCTTATCAATGATTTCTTGCTTTAATTCCATGCAAATCATTCTCTTTTTCTTCTTGGCACTGTCCTTTCCATTTGCTTTCTTAGGGCCCATGTTTAGAAGAAAGAAATCTGGCGAATTAACTGCCCGAAACGTAAGGAAATCACGAGAATTCCTCGCACCGCGAGGATAGCTCCATAAGCACATGTGCATTGGTGAGCATTGTTTTGATTGACACTGCTATCTGGTGGTGGTGTTGTCAATCTAAATTATACGCAGTAGGTACATAGTATTATTATATTGTTATTATTTATTATACATAATTATTATGTAGTATTATCATAATTACTAGTACATACGTATTACTATAATAATTATTATCATTATTATTAATTTAATGACCTAGATCAAGAGCCCCTCACTATATACATACTACTACTACTGCTACTACTAATAATAATTATTATAACAACAACATGGCAGTGGCAGCGACAGCAGAGGCAGCAAGCTCTGTCATTTTTCTCACCTGCAGAGCCCACCAATGCTTCAATGATGGCCTAATTGCAATCATAACTGCACTAACGTACGTAGAACCCAGCATGACCCAAGATAATCAACAGTGATACCTACAAATCGAAAAATTACTGAGTGAAGCGAAGACTGCCCCACAAACTCCAAGCACAACCCCGCTGCCAGACGACTACCTACTCCAAGCTTTTAACTATCTTAGTTTCTTCATCTAACCACAGCAACTCCTGTACTACTATGAGACCAACTACTAGAAGAAACAGCACTAAGAACAGCAAGGCAGCGCCTAGAAATCGACTATTCCATAAGACGACCCAGCAGGATGCCGGTGCTCCATCCACCCCCTTACAACCCAGAGTGACACATCACCAACAACAAACATGGCCGACTTACCCTCACCCACCAACCATGGCAACTCGACAACAACAACACCAACCGTGACTGACTCCCTCTCTACCTCTACTACCTTCATAGGATTTAACCCAGCTGATATGCTCCCAGGTATGACTAATGATCCTGACACTCTAAAGCACTACATTACCACCCTAACGGCGGATAACTTGAATCTTCGTGCTGAAAATATGTCTCTTCGTGCAACAATAACAAACCATGAATCTAAGTTACTTCACCCTGAGAACAAGATCAACAACCTTGAACAACAGCAAACATCAACTGGCATGACTGATTTTGGCAAGGTTCTCCAATAAGTCATAGCCAGCCACACAGATCAAATAACTTCCCTTAACACAAAGATTGATAATGCCGTCAAGGACCGGAAAATAAACATGGATACCTAATTGAACAATTATTTTGCTAACCAAGATGATAAGGCAGAGCAAGACAAGTTATCTGATGCAGTAGTAATTAACACTCCACTCTTTCCCAGCAAATTAAACCATTCCAACTGCAAAGATACAACTCTCCAGATCATACGTGACCACCTACATGTTAATGTACCAGTGTCGGAAATAAAAGAATCGCGGTTACTAGGGAACCAAAATAGAAAAAGTGTTATGCTCAGATTTCACACACAAGACAGGAAAAAAGATCTAATAATTTCATCTATTAAAGCAAAAAAAGATATATACATAAACGAGTCTCACAAGAAAATGACAGAACCTCCTGTACAGAGTGAGAAAACTAAAACATGAGAATAATGATAAAATTCACCAGTGCTTTGTACGTGATGGACAAATTCTAGTAAGAAAAACTAATGTAGGCCGTGTGTGCTACATTACAAATGAAAATGACTAGCATACTTCCTTCATGATGCAAACATTACAGAGTCTGACTGATATTATTGACCAAATCCTTACTACGTTAGTGTATGTTATTATGTCATTATTGAACTAATCCCTGTACTATCCCATAAACCATGACCAATCATTCCTGGTTATATTTTATTAACTGAGAAACAGTAAATCCTATTTAACTG